ACCTTACACGGAGATACTGTTTGAAACGACAAATATACTGTTCGAAAAGACAATACATTGTTGACCTTGCCTTTGCAGCTCCTACTTATTTATGTGTCCGCATGTGCAAAGCCCCTAACCCGCACAACCTTACGCACACTAAGTAATTGCTAATTGTCTCTTACAATTGTTTCGAAATGAGTTTCTCCGACACTGACCATGAAGAAAGCTTCAACAACTTGCCTGTTTACCTTCATAACCTAAGGCGAACCAACCCGCATACTCACACTCACATCAAAACGGATTTGATGGATCGTTTCCAATCTTGTTTTGTGGCTATTGGATGGGTGGTATAATTCTTTTCCAAATCCGTTTTGTGTCTTTACATTTGATAATGTTTGTACATTAAAGTAATTGGTGTGCACTATTAAAAATTACAGGTCCATGTATCCGTGCATTGTTTCTTGCCTGTCCTCTACATAGGTACCGTCCCTCTTAGAGGGGACTACCTAAAAACAATGTTTGTAGTTGTTGCTAAAGATGGGAACAATCTGACTTTCCCTATAGCGTTTGGTATGGCGGTTGAAAATAATGTGGTAAATTCTACCTGGTTCCTGATAAGTTTAAAAGAATGTCTTGGAGAGGGTAGGGAAATAGCGTTCATATCCAATATGTACGATGGTGTTAGCTCTTGCGTAGATAATGTTTTCAGTGATTCTTATCGTGGTTACACTTGTAACAGCGTGCAAAACTATTTACGCACAAGAGTAGGCTCCGGGAGATCATTGGAAACTTTGTTCTGGATAACATTAAAATCCTACACGTTGTCAACTTTTGCACAAATTTTTTCTAGATTAAGCATTAATGCTCGTGAAGTGCTTACGAATATCGGTCATCCGAAATGGGCAAGAGCCTATTTCCCTAACATCCGTTCAAATGTACTCAACATGGAAGTTCCTCAATACTTTTCAGTAGTATCGCGCAATCATTGTAATGTACCGATAATAGCGCTTATCGAGGGAATTCGTGATTCCAATAATCAATGTCAACAAGAATGCGGTCTACAAGATCTTCAAACCGCACAAAATCAATCATGGTGACGACGCGAAAAGATCGCAAGTTGTCGTACAAATTCAACGACAGTGTGTCCATCCATAACTCCCCAAGTACCCAATGATGTGGGTTTATACAAATTGGAAAATAAACCCCACAGAACCGTTGGGATTAGTTACAACGTTTAATTAGTGTAATATCAAAATTTAAGTGATTAATCAATAATATTTGTTTACTTACACGGTCAACTTCTAACCAAGATTTACATCCATCTAACGGGTCAAACGGATGTCCCAATGCACTTCCTACCCACTCGAACGTCTCAAATGCAGCAAAAAATGAAGATGGCATGATTGTCCATCGAGCATCGTTCGGTCTCCGCTCATTCAAAAGCCTTCCCCATAAGTCAACATGTTGCATTTAAATCTAATTTAAACATACGGACCTTATCAATTATTTAAATTTTAAATATAAACAAATGTCTTCATACCGGTTCATCTAAATATCTCAAGTCAATTGAATAAAAAAGGAGATCCCAAAACATTGCTTCGATTCTTTCATTGTAAAACCGATGTTTCAAATAAACAGCCGGTTTGTTTCCCATGTATAATGAAGGGGCGGCACCTCCTTCACGGGTTTTTTTTGTTTTGTACGACCAACATCATCATCCTCGTTTACTCGATTTGAATTCGGTGGACTACCGAATTGTTCGTTCACCGGGCTTGTCATCTGATAACTACCTCCCACATCTTCATTCCCCTACATTTAAACGAAAAATAATTTAACAAATAATTATTTTACCTCGAAACCTTCGTTAAGAATTAATAGTAAATTTATAAAATGAAATATTTTACCCCAAACGCTGCGTCAAAAAATTCATTATTGTCATCCCGTTTTTCAAATCCCTCTTTACATTTTATTCCTCGGATTTCTTCCTCCAAGCTTTGAAGTCTTGCCATTATTTCTTGGGCTGTTCTCCTATTAATTCCCACCGTATGAGTTTCTCCGGTGGACTGGGTAGATCGACTGTTTCCACAGGATGGATCAGATGAAGATGCTCCCTACATAAATTTTTTTATATATCAATAATAGTTGAAAAATTTTAATATACTAGATACTACTTTTAGTATTTTACTTACATCTTTTCTAAAGTTGTAGCGTACAGAAGAAGGGACTTCTGGCGATTCAGGATTCAGACTAGAAATATATGTCAAGTAATGTGGAGTAGATGACTCGACATCTGAGGCAATCATCTTTCTTTTCGGTTGATGTGCCTCGTCTTGGTCAACATCGAAAAGATCGCAAACTTTCTCCCATGTTAACCTCCTAAGGTGAAACCACCGCAACATACGAGGATATAAATTGTTTTGTCGTAACGCAGCATTCCCCCGAGCTAGTGGGAACATCTCCCATATCCATATCTTGTAATAAATATACATTAATATATAAGAGTTAGCAATAACTAACAGGGATTATGAAAAAATAAAAACCAAAAAATTTAAAATTATATTTTTACCTTCAACGGAATAACAAAACCGGATAGTGTATACACACAAGGTTTTGTGGGATGTTTGGACATATGATCCTCAAATTTCTTAAACATACCCGACAATCTAGGGTATGTTTTACTCCATAGGTAACTCCCCCACGAGAACCTATATTATATGCAAAACTATTAGTTAAACATATAAAAAATAGTATTTTTTTATAATATTAAATTGATAAATACCTGTTCCATTCATCTAGGTTCTCCACCACCCACAGAAATTCCTTCGTGACTTTGTCTTTGGGTTCTTTTCCCAAAAAACCTTGATTGAGGATATATAGCAAAATCGCATGGACAGCATCGTCAGCCGATATCTCATTGAACCGTCGGTTCAAGATAAGTAGCTCTAAATCTTCTACAAGTAACGTAGTGTCCGTGCGATACGGGAAGACTCTGGACCGAAATGTATTATCACCGTATCCGTGATTATACATGGTTGAAAATTCGATCCTTGAAGTAGGAAAACGGCCCATGTAAAGTCCCGAGACAATACAAAACTCTTCCGGCCCAAATGATAAAGAACGTCTAGAAAACATGAAATGTAGATGCTCAGCTGCATCACTTTCAGGGGTAGGACGCAGCATATGAAGTAGTAGGCCATGAATAAGTAGTCCGCCTCCGGACTGAGCCGGTAGATCCAAGAGGTAACCAAAGCTAGTTCTTGAAAATATCTCTCGAACCGGCCCATTCAACCGATTCAAAACTTCATCCAACTTGTGACATGAAGCTTTCACAAATATATTGCATGTCATCTTTTTGTTAGGAAGCTACAAAATAAATAAAAAATAAAGTTAAATAAGGTTTTATAAAAAAAAAACAGTGTTGGAGTATCACACAATAAAACAGTTAAACATTTCATATAATCTATTTACTTTCTATAAAATACCAAAGTAAATTATTTTACACAAAATTTTGTCTTTTCTATACTACTTGTATACAAAAAATAGTATTGTACTTTAAAAATGGTGTGACAATAACATATTTTATAACAAACCTGAAACTACCAAAACACAATGTTATTTTATCAATACAGTATAATACAAAGTATCTACACATTATACACATAAAAACTTCTTCAAATAGATACTACATTGCTATTGTATGCTATAATTGAGACATAGAAAATAACATCATTTTTAACAACATGCAAAATATTGAATCATAAGATACATACAAGGGGATACAATCGTTACAAATACGTTTAAACAAATTTTTTTTTTAAAAATTGAAAATAAAAAGATATATATAAAACCATACATTTTAGGAAACCTACAATTTTTATTTCCAAAAAAAATCATAAGATACATACAAGGGGATACAAATGTTTATTGGCTATTAAATTTTTTTTTATTTTAAAAAAAAAAAACGGTTTTTTTGTGAAACCTATGGTGTACAAGTGTTTACTGCACAAACTGTGCAGTAAATACTTGTACACCGTAGGTTTCTAAAAAACCTACGGTTTCCTTTTTTTTTTTATAAAAAAAATTATACCACAACAAAATACATCCAATTCCTATTCTATTGATACCATATTAAAAAAAAAACGAAAAAAAATAATGTCCGTACGGTTTCATATGAAACCTACGGTGTACAAGTCGAAACTGCACAAACAGTGCATTGGGCACTTGTACACCGTAGGTTTCATATGAAACCTACGGTTTTATATTTTTTTTTTTCAATTTTTTTCAAAAAAAATTTTATCCCCATAAACAAAACCTACTCCTAATCACAAACACGGTAAAATTTTTAAGAAAAGTAGACAAACTTGATTGTTCTTCGGGTGCTCCATTGAGAGAAAAACGTAGCCTAACAAAAGAAAACAATAGGAAAATGACCTAATCTGAAAAAAAATTTCATTATATATTTTGGGCTAATGGGTCACGAAAAAGTAAACGACCCTTGAAACAGTAGCCCATTAGGGGAAAAGAGTAGTCAACGGGTGTTGACCGTAGTCTTCCTCTGTTGACCGTAGTCAACCGAATGTTGACTACTCTTTTGGGGGCTATTTTTGGCTAAGTGAGTTTTTTTTGGTTATTTTTTGATAAGTAATTAAGAAAAATGACTAGTTTTGTATTTTCCCCCAAAAGCTACATATTACAATATAATCTACTCTTTTAGAAAATAGATTTTAAGATAATACATTATTATATGTGTTAGAAATGCACTTTGGCCAACATTTAGATAAAATTTACATAGATTTATTCGTAGATAAATAAATAAAAATTGAAATCGACACCTCTTATATCACAGAACGATAAGAATATCTTATATATCCACGATGACAATGACACTTATTGTTGTGTTAGAATAATAATTTATAACAAGTTGATATAGAAAATACTATAAGTTGATCCACATATGTGAAAGAGAAATTATAAAGAGGTTACCTGGAAACAACGTACTATGGACAACTTTGTTTGACGATGTAACCACACCCTTGACTAAATTATAGAGTGCCTACAAATAGTAGCCCACAAACGTACACTTCAATCACTATCAACCTCATTAATATTCAACCATGCAGTACTCTTCCAACATGCCACAACCGGAATATGCCACCGGCGTTCCAGCTCACCCCATCATCACCCCCGGCCAATGGTCCACCGGCCTTTGTGATTGCGGAAAAGATGTCCCTAACTGTATGTCCACAAATTATTAATTATATTAATCATTATTTATAGTATATTAATATTGTATACATAAATCAATTCATGCTATTGAAAATTTGTATTGTTTATGGGAATTACAGGTTGCTTAACGTGTTGGTGTCCGTGTATTTCTTTCGGACGAATCGCAGAAGTTGTTGACAAGGGAACTACATGTAAGTCTCTAAAGACCATATTTTAATAATTGTATGATATTACAGTGACTTTTTCACGACAAAATATATGTAGTTATTTTTTGTATATATATTTTTTTAAATTCATGTTTTTTGAAGAATAATTAGTTTTTTTTGTTTTCACATGTAAAAATTAACAGCTTGTGGTGTTAGCGGGGCTCTTTATTCGATACTTTGCCTATTTACTGGATGTGAATGCGTATATTCTTTTTATGTATCGTTCAAAATTAAGACAACAGTACATGTTGCCTGAGCAACCCTGCAATGATTGTCTTCTCCATTGCTTCTGTGAGTATTGTGCTCTTTGCCAAGAGTATCGTGAGCTCAAGTATCGTGGATTTGAACCATCTCTTGGTAACAAATTAATAATATCCATCTCTTTTTCTTGACGTTAAAATCAATAGCTATATATCTCTGTGTATCAAAAAAAGATCTGATTCAAGTTTGTTTTTGTTGGCTTTGTAGGATGGCAAGGAAATCTAGCAAGTCATAATCAAGGAATCGTGATGCCACCGATTGGTCCTGGAGAAATGAAACGTTAACTTTTTGCTTTTATTTTTGAAAATCATAGAAACTATGATCATGGGATGTGACAAGATTTAAAATCTCATGTGCATTTACTTTTATGTACAGTCGATTTGTATTATTTGTGATGTCAATAAAAATATATTAATGCAAAGAACAAATTAACCGCAAATGTACATTTCTTTTATCAAATCTCAGGGACATAGTCTAGTCATGATGAGGATAGTATTTTATCATGATATCGGAACCTAAGTTTTTATGGATTCCTTTTTGTCGACCCCAAAGCCATAATGTCCCAAAATGGGGAGGCTATAGAGAAAGTCATTTTTATTTCTTTGTCTCAAACTTAGTGAAGAACTTCATTCTATCTCTCCCTAGTTACAAACAAAAAACTGGGCTACGACCCAGTTGTTGTGGTTTGTCAAAATGGTATGTTTTGTTCATAACTTTTTTTTTGCACTTAGACCGTCCCTGTGGTATTCTTTTCTTGAGGTTTTAGTCTCAAACAAATATAAAAACTATATTATCCTAATTTTTTATTTTATTTTATTTTTTATTTACTATTTATCTTTTAAAATGAATATCATTATCACATACACCCACTACGTTCTTTTTCCCCATCTCGTATCGATACCACTGACCAATGACTGCCACCTCCACCATTGACCACCGCCTCCAACTCCATTACCGTTAACCACCACAAACATCATTGCCAGCGACCACCGCCAATACCAGTTCCTATTAACCACAATCAACATCATTCTCATTAACCACATCCAACACCTTTGCATTAATCACCACCACTGTCATCGATCACCACCACCATTGAGACTCAAACCTAAGAAAATACATAGGAAAAAGCCTCTAAAAACTTGCAAAAAATGCACCGATACTCACTTCAGTTTTCATTTTACAAAAAGAACATCTACAAAAAAGCCCTCTAAAAACTTGCAACAATCCACCACCATTGATGCTTATTACGAAAGAAAAAAGAAGAACAAAATCAACAAAATATTGTTGCCTCTGTAGTAGAAAATAGACCAGTAAATCAACCAAATCCTTTTCATCTCAAAATATTATTAAAAAAGAACATTTAATTCTAAACAAAAGAAATCAGAGCCATTGATTGCATTTCAATCCTATATTTTTCACCATTGGATTATTTGCTGACATCATCTTTGTCAATCATTTTATTTTTGTCCACCAAATTTATAAAACGTATATTACATTTTAAATTAGGAATTTTATTAATGACAATTAAATCTCATCAAAAGTAAAATTAATTAAATTAGAAATTCTATTAATGACAATTAAATGTACCAAAAATAAAATGAATTAAATTAGGAATTCTATTAATGACAATTAAATCTCACCAAAATAAAATGAAAAAATACCCCACCGCACCCCTTATTACCAGTACCCCTACACTCTCTCCTCATTTCTTTACATAATCTATCTAACCTAAGTTTTGTACTGGAGAAGAAAATAGGGGAAAGAAGAAATAGAATACTTGTGGGCTTCGATCTGTATGGATCAATCTTGTGTTCGATCATCATGGAAGAATTAGGAATGATATAGAGATAAATTTTATTTGGATTCTACTTTAATTTGATCGTAGTTTAGATCGATTTTCGTTAAGTTTTAGATTATGTTTATTTTATTCTGTTTCAACTATGAAGTTCCAATCTATAAAACCTTTCGATTTAAGATTAGATCGATAATGGTTACGTTTTCTAAATCTGCTTCGATTTTTCTTCTTATGATATGTATTGTTGATTTTGATTTTTTAAGTTATAGGTATCTGAGCAAAAAGATGGACACAATCTCTAAGTATTATTAAAAGAGAACTTTTTCTAAACTGAAGAAATCAGAGTCATTGATTGCATTTCAATCCTATGTTTTCCATCATTGGATTATTTATTGACATCATCTTTGTCAATCATTTTATTTTTGTCCACCAAATTTATAAAACGTATATTACGTTTTAAATTAGGAAGTTTATTAATGACAATTAAATCTCATCAAAAGTAAAATTAATTAAATTAAAAATTCTATTAATGACAATTAAATGTACCAAAAATAAAATGAATTAAATTAGGAATTTTATTAATGACAATTAAATCTCACCAAAAATAAAATGAAAAAATACCCCACCGCACCCCTTATTACCAGTACCCTACACTCTCTCCTTAGTACCTTACACTCTCTCCTTATTTCTTTACATAATCTATCTAACTTAAGTTTTGTACTGGACAAGAAAATAGGGGAAAGAAGAAATAGAATACTTGTTTGGCTTCGATCTGTATGGATCAATCTTGTGTTCGATCATCATGGAAGAATTAGGAATGATATAGAGATAAATTTTATTTGGATTCTACTTTAATTTGATCGTAGTTTAGATCGATTTTGGTTAAGTTTTAGATTATGTTTATTTTATTCTGTTTCAACTAAGAAGTTCCCATCTATAAAACCTTTCGATTTATGTTTAGATCGATAATGGTTACGTTTTCTAAATTTGCTTCGATTTTTCTTCTTATGATATGTATTGTTGATTTTGATTTTTTAAGTTATAGGTATCTGAGAGCAAAAAGATGGACACAATCTCTAAATATTATTAAAAGAGAACCTTTAATTCTAAACTGAAGAAATCAGAGCCATTGATTGCATTTCAATCTTATATTTTCCACCATTGGATTATTTGCTAACATCATCTTTGTCAATCATTTTATTTTTGTCCACCAAATTTATAAAACGTATATTACGTTTTAAATTAGAAAGTTTATTAATGACAATTAAATCTCATCAAAAGTAAAATTAATTAAATTAGGAATTATATTAATGACAATTAAATATCACCAAAAATAAAATGAATTAAATTAAGAATTCTATTAATGACAATTAAATCTCACCAAAAATAAAATGAAAAAAATACCCCACCGCACCCTTATTACCAGTGCCCCTACACTCTCTCCTCATTTATTTACATAATCTATCTAACCCAAGTTTTGTACTGGAGAAGAAAATAGGGGAAAGAAGAAATAGAATACTTGTGGGCTTCGATCTATATGGATCAATCTTGTGTTCGATCATCATGGAAGAATTAGGAATGATATAGAGATAAATTTTATTTGGATTCTACTTTAATTTGATCGTAGTTTAGATCGATTTTCGTTAAGTTTTAGATTATGTTTATTTTATTCTGTTTCAACTATGAAGTTCCAATCTATAAAACCTTTCGATTTAAGTTTAGATCGATAATGGTTACGTTTTCTAAATCTGCTTCGATTTTTCTTCTTATGATATGTATTGTTGATTTTGATTTTTTAAGATATAGGTATCTGAGAGCAAAAAGATGGACACAATAGCACCACTACCTCTCATCCATTGTTTCGATTTGGAAGATATGTCCACTAGGTACTGAATTTGTATATGTCGATTTTATTTTTTATTTTTACGTTTTTTGTATATATGTTTAGTCAATGATTTTTTTCTGGCTTAGGAAATCGTGAATGGAAGATATACCCGAGTCAATGTCTATAATGTTTTACCCATTTGATCCCTTCTTGAAGTTAGAGATGAAATTCAAACCCTTATACCAGTGAGTGATCCATATATCCTACAACTCAGCAAAACCCAGTAGTGATATTTGTTTTGATTTATTGTAAAAAACATCTTTTTATAAAAACACAAATTGGGCTCTCAGAAAGGAGTTATTCACCGATCCCTTTTTAATATTATAAAACATATTTTAGACTCAATAGTAAAGAAAATACAAAGTTTTAGTATACCATGTAAATAGATTATCTCGATAAACCTTATTGGAAAATGTTTATGATTGATTACTTTTGGTTACTTAGTAGGTTCTTTTTTTTTTTTGGAAAAATTGTCTTCTAATTTATCTATTACATATTATTCTGTTTTTCCAAAGGAGAGATACATAGAACTCAGATTGCTAATTTTCGTTTTGTGTTTTTGGAATACGTTTTAGTTGTGAACTTGATGTTATGCAAGTACTCGCGTTGTCTGGGCATGCTGAGAAGTATAATAAGAACCTTGCACAACCTTATTCTTTCGTTTAACTGGTTTGAATTTTCTTATTGAGTTTTACTTTCTCAAGGATAAATGGGTATATCCTACACTCTTGAAAATAGGGTTGGGAACATTGTGAGTATCTAGGTTTTCTCAGCAATAAGATAAGACATTAGTATAAAAGCTGCAATATAAACTTTTTTTAATTACATAATAATAACTAAACAAAGATATGTGAAAGATTATCTTTATAATTTAAATTGCAATATATAACATAAAAATCGTATTAAATTTTCATTATGTTCCGTTCCATGCCTCACAAACATGTTTCTGGAACGGAATTACTCATTCTATTATCTGGCTTTTACGATTACATATCATTTCCATTTCTTTGTTGTTTTATTCTTTGCAACCTCACATATCTCAAAAAAAGTAATTCCGAAATCCATCACAAAATAGAAATGTTTTATAAACTCCTATAAGGGAAGAAGAAAGATAAGACTAAACGAGTGTATGGTGTTAATCTAATTATGATGTTCTTTCATCTCTATTTGCATGTTTCTAGCTTGTTCGTAGTATTGTCTATAAAATATTGTTGTTATATTTGAAAGTTCATTTCCCCCTTTTTCATCTTTTTTTGTTTATATTTTAATCTTTCAAGTTTTTTAGAGTATTTGAGGGACCGTTTCTACTTGGGTTTGGGGTGAAGTCGAAAGCCCTAAAACTGGAGGGTAGTTGTACTCAGAACCACTTGAATATTGAAGATTTTTGTTGGCATTAATTTCAATAATCATATGTACCCTAGAAGAGATATCAGAACTATAGTTTATTTTTTTTATAACGTTTCTTCTATTTTTTTTAATGTTCTACATGTGATGGCTAAAAGGGTATGATCAACCCTGTCTATGATCAAGGGTAATTTGGTAAATCTTCAAATATTACACTTTATTAAAGAGTACAAACGAATATTTTTGATTTTTGGTTCCTTATGAAAGAGGCAAGGGTATAATGGTCCTTTTAATATAAATTCTTTATTTTATTGTTATTACCTTCTGTATCTACAACATATTTACCACCTTTTGATTATGCTTATTCAATATGTCATAATATTTTATTTGATCCAAATTTATGATTTTCATTG